AGAGAGAGAGAGAGAGAGAGAGAGAGAGAGAGAGAGAGAGAGAGAGAATGTTCCTTTATGTTGGGTCCTAAAAGGTAGAAGGTTTAGCTGATTATATATATGAGTCTTATTTAGGGATATAAATGTTCTAGATAAATTATAGATTCACATAGTTTATTTTGTCCCTTGCCTGAGTTGTATTATAAATTACATGTTTGTTTTTATGATAATTAAATCCCATATTACATGTATCTGGAAGCTCACAATTCTGCAAGGTATCATAATTTGATCCCACCCTGAGAAGCATTTGGCAAAATGTTTACTTTAGTGTCCCATTAACCCATTATTCCCCTTGTAATCTGTTGATGGAATTGTTTCCCTTTGAACAAATTTTAATAGGAATGGGGTTCCTATTACCACAGAATAAAAGATTTGAAAGGGTACTTAGAGATCATCTAGTCCAGCCTCTCATTTTATAAAAGGAGAACATTGAAACCTAGAGAAAGAAAACAGCTTTTTCAAGGTCACACAGGTGGTCAGCAGGATATTTTTATGTGTTTCCAGATCTGTGATTTCATTGGTGTTGATGCTGAGTAGCAGCTTGCAACTGATCCGTAAATTGTAGTTTTAGAGACTCTCCTGGGGGACTGAAAGGTTATACTAGAGAAGACTTGAATCCAGGTCTTGTTAGTTCCAAGGTTGGCCCTTAATCCATTAGATCTCTCTGCTTATCTATATGCAGGCCAATATAGCGCCTTGCAGTTGCCGATCGATTCAGTTGATTCAAAACACTTCAAAGGCAGGGATGGCGGCTTTTAATTTTTCAGTTATTTCCCCGCAAAGGCAAAGATAGGTGCCAGCATATTGTGGTTGCTCAGTAAGTGTTACTGTTACTAGCATGACCTAGAAATTTCAGTGCTCCTTCAGCCTTACTGCCAACATGTTGGAGTACTAATGATTCACTTCTCATCTGTCCTTTTTGTGTCACCCTATGCAAGGTGTGTGTGTGGGCTGTACCAGTGTTTAAATGGGTCATCGGTAGGAGTCATTGGAAACAGTGTCTATTTTCTGATACCCAGTGGCTCACTGGGAGAGCTTATGGCATCATCCCTGGCATGCCAAGGCCATTACTTCTCCAGACTGACTCTGTGAGCCCGGAGACAAAGCAGGACTCTGGTGTAGGTCCTTATCTCCCTCGGATACCCAAAATGAACCTAGATTGATTACGTTTTCTGTTTACTTTTATGCATTCATGTTATTTTCTCTAATTGAATGCAAGCATCACTGGCCCACGTGCTGTTTCTCACACACAATATTCCATGTCCTGACTTCATGCATTTGCAGTGGCTCTCTCTCATGTCTGCATTGCTCTTCTGCCCTTGCTTCTGATGCCTATCTTCTCTGGCTTCCTTTAATTGTTGTTTGTCAGTCGTGTCTGACTCTTCATGACTCCCTTTGGGGTTTTCTTGGCAAAGATACTGGGGTGGTTAGCCATTTCCTTTTCCAGCTCATTTTAGAGATGAGGAAACTGAGGCAACCAGGATTAAGTGACTTGCCCAGGATCACAGTTAGTAAGTGTGTGAGGCCAGATTTGAACTTGGGGAGATGAATCTTCCTGACTCCAGGCCTGGCTCTCTATACACTGTGCCACCTAGAGGCCGGTTTCCTTCAGAGCCAAGCTCAAATCCTACCTTCTTCAGGAGGCTTTTCCCATTCTCACCTGTTGTTATTCCCTTCCCTCTGACATTATCTTCCAATTGCTCTCTCTATATCTTGTTTATAGCCAGTTGTTTGAATGTCGTCTCCCCATTAGACTGTGTGCTCCTTGAGATAAAGGTCTGTGATTTTTTTTGACCTTTCTTTGTCTCTCCTGTGCTTAGCACAGTGCCTGGAACATAGGAAGTGATTAGTAAGTGCTTGGTGAAGGACTGACTCAAATTAAGGTTTTCTGCTTCCAAGATCACTGCTGTTATGTACAATATTAAACTGTCTGTCTTTGTTTCTTTCAGTGTCAAGTACAGTGTTTTCCTTCATGAACACTTGTTGAACGAATGATAAATGTAGTCAGGTAGATCTGAGTTTGAATACTGCCACAGACACTACATGACTGTGGCCAAGTCACTTAACCTTTGTTGGTCTCAGTTTCCCATCTGTAAAATGGGTCTACTAATAACATCACCTACCTCACAGGGTAATTGTGAGGATAACCATGATACTACATGTAAATAGTGAATCTTAAAGAACTACATACTTGTTAAACTATTACTATTACTACTATTGTTATTATTACTATAATTACTTCTCAGAGGATGAAGGCAACTTTGGAGATGGTCTCAATAGTTTGTCTACAATTGATTTGAATGTGGGTAAGCTCAAAGACAGATTACTTTTGAGACAGACTAATCAGAGAGCATTCCAGGCTCTTTGGGAAAACATTTTGGGTCGAAGAGTTCTGACACCAGTAACTCTCTCCACCCCTCCAACTCTTTTTTTCCCTCTAAGGTTGACTCACACTTTTAAAGATGTCTTCCTCTTCCTCCAGGTATCACCTGGAGGAAAATTATCATTGCAAATGAAATTTCCATTTCAAGCAGAGAAGGCAAACATAAACACTATTACTGGATGAGGCACTTATCAAGCTGCAAATTACTTTTTTTTTCAAAAGCATAATATTAAAATCAAAAATTTTTTCTGAGATTATTTTCATCTTGAAACTTCATTGTGGTTTAATCTAATCACAGAATAATCCATGCATCTGATGGGAATACAAATGACTATTCCATAGGTATGGGGGCAGGGAGCTTAGACCTTTTTCTTATGGAGAGTTATCTGTACTTGTTATTGGAAAGTTTCTTGGTAGACAGGAAACCAAACAGGAACATCTACCCAGTCTGGCCCCAGGCCAAATTGTGACATGGTTCTTGTTTATTCCTAGTACCCATCTAGCACTCAAACTTTTTTTTTGTCTTCTCATGATACCACAGAGGTAAGGAACCTTGGCATCTGTCCAGTCCAATTTCCTTATTTTATAGATTTCTGAGGAAACTAGGGTCCAGAGAAGTTAAATAACTTGCTTGAGGTCATACAAACAGAAAACAGAAGAGCTCAGGTTCAAACCCATGTCCTTTAACTTCCAATTCAGTGCTCTGTCTACTCTATCATTTTCCAGGTGCCTATGTCCTCTTGCTGCAGTCTGGCCACCCAGGACCAGTCTCCTATCAGTGTTCTATCTTGTTTTACATTCCCTCCCTTCCATCAAAACTTACCTGTTCTGGGTTGCCATTTCCTAGGTCCCATCTCTCTTGGGACTAATTTGGGAAAATAATCTGAACTGAGTTACTGGGTGTTTTCCTTCTTCTACATTTACATTTTAGTATGCATGATGCCTGAGCAAGCACATATTTACATTTTAACAAGGGTGTTAAGTTAAGTGCTTCAACTCATGGGATTTAGTAACCTGGGCATTTCAAGATCAAAGAGGAAGGAAGCTGGAGGATTGTATAATGGAAAGAGCATTAGTAAGGGGATCAGGAAATTGGAGTTTTAGTCCTATCTGTGCCACAAATTAGATGAGTTAATGACCTTGGGAAGGTCATTTCATATTTCTAGGCTGTGATGTCTCCATTTACAAAGAGTGGATATTGAACTCAATGATCTCTTCTAAGGCTCAAAGGTCTCTTCTAGTCCTTTCCATTGTTGACATTCTCTATTCCAAGGTCCCTTCCAACTTTAATATTCTGTTCTCTAAGGCCCTTTCCAGTTCTGACATTCTATGTTTTAAGGACTTTTCCATTTAGAAGAGAATTTTTAAAAGATATTTGGGAGGTAGGGATCATCCTTCTTATTGCCCCTCAAATCCCACCATGCTGCTTACTCTCCTCTTTCCTAAGGTGGGCTCTGGACTTGGAAACCAGGTTCCTGGTCTGGACGCACCTGACTCTCTGTATTAAGGGTATAAACGATGTCTGTCTGGTCCAAGAGTTTACAGGCATATGCAATATTGATGGCTGTTTCCTGCTTGTCTCCTGTCAAGACCCAGATCTGGATCCCTGCCTCTTGCAATGCAGCAATGGTGTCTGGCACACCTTCTTGTAGTCGATCTTCAATCCCAGTTGCTCCTGGGGAAGAGAAGAGATAAGCTGGGTCACCTATTGGGGAAAAGAGCCAGGGATTTAATTCTTTAGGCATAATCATCCTGTTGAAATTGGCCCTCTTAAATTGAAGACCCGCAGCAGAACTGATGCTGCATTTAGGTTGGAGATAATGTGGCTGAAAGGGGGATACTAATTAGGCTGGCAGATTCCTTATATTTTTTGTATTATCTTAAGCTCAGCATCAATCCTTAGTGAATATACAACAGAATATTGAACAGTGGCTAAACAATTCAACAATCAAACAAAATCTGCATTTAAATTGAGGCTTTTTTTTTTAGACCAAAGACTTGGCTACTCATTTCACTCACTGCCCAAGCAGAGCATTTCATTCTTTTTAATAATCCAAAATGACAACTCATTGGCAAAGGAGTGATGCTAGAAGCATGCTAAACAGATAATTTCCTACTGCAGGACCTTACATGAATGCAATAATAGCATAAGAATGCAGTTTTACAGTGCGGCTATTTAATGGAGTGAAAGTCTCTCTGTGACAAGTGGAAATCTTTTCCTAGCCTCGGTTCTCTTCCAGCTACCTTGAGGGAGGAAAAAATGATTTCTTTGAGGAAATGTGTTTGCTTTGGATAGCCAGCCCAAATGCAGAAGTAAACAACCATGTGAAAAATTACAGTTCTTGCCTCATTTTTTCCTCCAGGGATCAGGCAGGAGTGAGACTTTGAAGATGATATAGATCAAAGTAGGAGGTAGATGGAGGAAGGGGGAAAAGGACATTTATTTGTGTGAAGAAGAAAATGAAACTTTTTCTCCAGGGAGACTGAAAGATCTTTCATAGCTAGATAAATTGACAGGTTCTGACAAGCTGTATTATCCCTTCTTCAGTCCTAGTTTATGAGGACTTCTCACTAGTTGGCCTAGAAAACATCCCTTCTGAGCTATTCCAGAGTCTAGTACTGAAAAATTAGGAAATCTTATTGAAAGGGGTATATAGGATCTGGTGCTGTGAAAGAGGCCACCAGAGCAGAGTCATAACTAGGAAGCATTGTGCTCAGGGCAAGTAGCACAAAGGGCTGCCTCACTTGGAGGGGTGGGGACTGAACAGAAAAAAAGTCTCTAGAACCACAGGGTAGGTTTGCTTCTGGGGAGGCTTCTCCAGGGCAGAGCAGGGCAAGGCAGGGCAGAGGAAAGCATTCATGCCAATATACCATCTACTAGCTTCTTATTTTAATTTTTATTCTTGCTTATTAGGTGCTAAGCTTTATTATTTCAGCATAGCTAAAGGACGTGATGTGCTATTAAGGCAACCTCTTAATCTGGCACCATTAAGTCAAGAAGCTTTATTGAATGCCTACTATGTGCAAGGCACTGTACTAAGCACTGGGGATACAAATAAAGTTAAAAAAATCCCTGCTTCAAGGAATTGAATGTCTAATGGAGGAGACAACATTCAGACAACTATGTACAAACATGACGTATACAGGGTTTAAGTTAGAGATAATCTCAAAAGGAAGGAGGGAGGTCTAGGAAAGGTTTCTTTTAGAGAGTGGGACTTTAGCTAGGACTTGAAGGAGGTAAAGAGGAGGAAGGATATTTCCAGGTATGGGGGAACAGGCAGTGAAAATGATCAGAGTGTGCAGATTGGATGTTTTATGTGAATAACAGATAGGGGGCCAGTGTCACTAAGTTGCAGAGTACATGGAGGGATGGTGGTATAAGTAGACTGGAAAGGTAGGAAAGGGTTAGGTTAATAAGGGTTTAAAATGCCAAACAGAGGACTTTATAATTGATCTTGGAGGCAATAGGGAGCTACTGGAGTGGACTGAACAGAGGGGTGACATGGTCAGATCTGAGCTTTAGGAAGAAAATTTGACAGCTGAGTGGAGAAAGACTTGAGATAAGGAGACCAACCAGTAAACTATTCCTACAAGTCCAGGTGTGAGGTGGGCCTGTACCAGGGTGGTGGCAGCATCCAAGGAGAGAAGGAGGTATATATACAGGAGATGTTTTGAAGGCTAAAAATCCACAGGATTTGGCAGCTGATTAGAAGAGGGGCGAGGTGAGAGAATGAGGAGTCAAAGATGACACAGGTTGTGAGCCTGGGTGTCTGGGAGGATGGTACTGCCCTCAAAAGTAATAGAGGAATTAGGAAGAGAGGAGGGTTTTTTTTTTGAATAGAAGATAATGAATTCAGTTTTTTATGTGATCAGTTCAAGATATCTATGAGACATCCAGGTTGAGATGTCCAATAGGCAGTTGGAAAAGGAGAGAGTTTAGGGCTGGACAAATGAGTCTGAGAATCATCAGTAGAATTCATGGGAACCAGTCAGGTCACCAAGTGAAATAGTATAGAAGGAGAAGAGAAGAGGGCCCAGTAAAAAGTCTTAAGGAATACCCACAGTTACTGGTTAGTGAGCATGACATGGATGAAATCCAGCAAAGGATACTGGGAAAGAACTATACCACAGAAATGAGGAGAGTTAAGGGACAATTGCTTTCAGGGGTGAATGGATGAAGTGAGGCTTTTTTTTTTGAGGATGGGGAAGGCATGGGTATGTTAATAGGCAGTAGGGAAGCAGCTAGTAGACTGGGAGATTTTGAAGTGAGAGAGTGGGGATGAGAGATGGGATAGTCTGCTGGAGGAGATGGTTTGGGATGAGATGGGATCACTAATGCATATAAAGGGGTTTGCCTTGGCAAGGAGAAGGGCCACTTCTTGTAAAACATGAGTAAAGGAGGAAAAAGTGGCAGAAGGAATTTGAGTGGTGTAAAAGGAGGAAAGGAGAAGGAATGCTCTGTGAATGGCCTTCAATGTTTTGCAAAGTTCTCAGTTGAGATAATAGGGGTAGGAAGAGGCAGGGGAGATTTGGGGAGGGATGAAAAGGTTTGGAAGAGTTGCTGTGTAAATGGGATGAAGTCAATTAGGGGGGCATAAGAGGATTGCCTTGCTGTAGTGTAACACACATTTGTAGTGGACTCAGTAAGGTTTCATGATTTTCTCCAACTTCATTCAGAAGTATGTGAGTAGGATTGAAGGCAGTGGATAATGGAAATAATCCAAAGCTGAGGCTTTGCAGGGTAAGATAGGATAAGGGGTAAGGGACTCAAGAGATGAAACTGGGTAGAGCTGAATGTTTCATCAAGGAGTCAAGATAGGGAAAGAAGGAGAGTGTAGCCAATGTAGAGGTAATGGCCTGGGAAAGAACTATGGGGTCAAAGGATTGGAGGTCAAGGTTAGACTGAAAAGCTGGTTTTATTGCTGTAAGGCAGGCAAGATGTAGAATGGCAACAGACTGTGATAAAGGATAAGATAAAAGAATGTTAGTGTTATGAACATGGATCAGGAATTGTTAGATGGCTTATACTTATAACTTTGAGACCTTGTGTGTGAAACTGTCAGAAAATTCTCTGGGCATACTCTTTGAGGCAGTTGTGCCTCATTCAAAGGCTCGTTGATTTCACTTTTTTTTCCCCAACTTTTGTTGATAAATCTTACAATGATTTTACATTCTCAAGGTGGTTTTTTTCAAGCAAGCTTTTTTTTTTCACCTGATTTCAACCATGCATCATGAGGTAAAGTAGGACACTTAACAACTTTCCCTGGATTACAAAGGAAAAAACTCATACCTGAAAAGGTTAAGATCATATAACTTAATGATAAAGCTCCTGGCTGAATCTCTCTAGTCTTTTAGACCACATAGACATCGATCCTGTCTCTGGTAAAATGGGAGCTCATGGACAACAGGAACAATTTCATTTTAGTCTTCATCCTTAATGCCTACCAGTGCCTGGTACATAGTCAGAGATGCTTATTAATTGATTCCTAGAGAAAAAGAGCAGGTGTGACCTACTCTGACTTATCTTTAACACTCTATTTAGTGTTAGGGACATTAAAGAAATGCTGAAGAAGCTTTGGGTCCTAAACAACTGGAAATACTTGCCTTGCATTTTATGATTTCTCTTTATTTACTGTCCTTGATGTTGTGGCAGTCTGGAAACTGGAACTCTAGTTCTGACTTTGCCACTGGCCTCTCTGGCGTCTTTCAAGGCCTAACAATCCTACCTCCTCCAAGAAGCCTTCCCTAACCCCTCTTAATTCTAATGCCTTCCCTCTGCTAGTTATTTCCTATTTATCCTGTATATAGCTTGCTTAGAATATATCTGCACGTTGTTTCCCCCATTAGACTGTAAGCTCCTTGAGGGCAAGGGCTGTCTTTTGCCTCTTCTTGCCAGCACAGTACCTGGCACATAGTAAACACTTAAAAATGTTTCTTGAATGAATGAACATTATCTATGGACATTGGAGAAATCAATTCATTTCTTTGGGCTTCAGGTTCTTAATGTGTGACATAAGGAAGTTGGATGACATGACTTCTACAGTCCCAGCTTCAACATTTTGGGTTTAAAATCCCTTCCAGCTCTGGCATTCATTGTTTAAAGGTCCCTCTCAGCTATGATCTTTTAGGTTCCAAAGTCCCTTCTAGCACTAACATTCTATTTTCTAAGGTCTTTTCTAGTGCTGTCTATTATTCTGTGAGTCCATAGAGACTCAGTTCAAGATAGGAAATAGATTGAGCTTTGAAGAATAGGTGGACAGGATCCAAGGTAGGCTGGCTACATGAGTTATATAATATTCCCAGAGGGAATTCCTCAGAAAGCAAAGAGAGCAGAACTTGGATTGCTATTTGAGGTATTTCATTTGTGCCAAAGATTTGCAAAGGTCTCCTGGGGATGAGTTTTCAATTTATATCTATTTAAAGTCTTGGTGCTATCGGAGTCAAGAAGTTTCTTTACAACCACAATATTTCTCTTTTCTCATCTGATAATGACTTATTTTTAGTTACCCAGTAAGGTGAGTTGAGTCTCTAGATGTTGGGCTGTCTCCATTAGTAGCTCATCTTGGTTGTCAAGGGATGCTTCAGCCTCACGGCGGAAATTGGCCCACCTCTGGAAGTCCTCTTCTTTTAAGACCTACGGGGCAGATAAGGAAGTTGTTTCCAAACTCCATTTTATTGCAACAGATCCTGAGCTGGACTGGGCTTGTGTGCTACGACTTCTCATGTTCACATTTAAGCTTCATTGCAAAGTCAGGTGAAGACTTCTCTGACCTTCACATCCTAACTCCTGCAAGAGGACTTTCCTGATCTCTTCCACTGCTACTGTCTTCCCTCTCCGGTCATCTCCAATTTAGCCTGTATATATCTTGTATATACATAGTTGTTTGCATGTTGTCTCCCCCATTAGAATGTAAGCTCCTCGAGCTGTTTATTCCTGTCTCTGTATCTCTAGCACTTAGTACAGTCTCTTGAAAATAGTAAGGGTTTAATAAATACTTGTTAACTGTTAATTTTACCCCCTCAGACAACCTTTCCTACCAGTGGGATTTGACCTCTTCCTCCCCAGAATTACTATCTAACTTTGTATCTCTTTTTTGGCACTTGCTATATTCAGCCTTGGACAGCTAGGTGGTGCAGTGGACACAGTGCTGGGCCTGGAGTCAGGAAGACTCATTATCCTGGGTTCAAATCTGGCCTTAGACACTTACTAGCTGTGTGACCCTAGGTAAGTCACGTGATCCGATTTGCCTCAGTTTCCTCATCTGTAAAATGAGCTGGAGTAGAAAATGGCAAACCACTCCAGTATCTTTGCCAAGAAAACCCCAAATGGGGTCACGAAGAGTCAGACATGACTCAAAAGCAACTGAAGAATAACACATTCAGCCTTGTGGCATAATTATTTGTGTGTTTATTGTATTCTTCCCCCACCAGCCTTACACTCCCTGTCTGGCCTAGGCTATAAACTCCTCAAGGGCAGGGACAATGCCTTATTTAACTTTGTTGCTGCAATGTCTGGCACAGAGGAAAGAACTTTAATGAATATTTGGTGAATGAATGAATAATGAAATGATTGATTAATTAATTCTGTTCCCCAGGAACTAAGGAAGTAAGGTGTCTATTCTGTGAGCAGAGTACCAAGGATGATTCTTTAACAGACTCATTCATCTTCATAGATTGTCTCGAAGCCTCTAGATCTAAAAAATGACTTCCTCTGAGCTGAGCACCACATCAGTTATTTATTCAATAAGTTTGATCAATAAGTACATTTTGAGTGTTTATTGTGTCCTCAACACAGTGCTAAGCACTGTGGGGGATACAGAAATCAAAGACCTAGGTCCTGGGACTTGAGCTAGGCCTTGTAGAGGGAAGAGGGGTTTCAAAAGATTGAATAGTCAATGGAAAAGTAGTTCAACCCTTTTTGAGCACCCCAAATAAAGAACAGCTGCAGGAACACCAAAATCCTTTACCATTATGTTGTCTTAGTAATGTTACAAGACCAACGAGCAGAAATATTCTTCCTACCCTCTTGGCGATGCAGAGTGTTCGTAGCCCATCTCTTGCGTAGAAGTCAAGGTGTTTCTGGGTCTTGGCCCGGATTTTTCTTAGCTTCTTCTCTGCAACAGGGTCTATTGCCATCAAACAGTGATTCCCAATATATGGTCAACTGCAGATTTTGGGAAAAGTCTCACCTCCCCAATTCAGACTTTGCAAGGATCATTGCAAACCTTTCCAGCTAAAGAATTCCATCAACTTCCCACTCTCTGGAAAATGTTACATCTCTGAACCACCAGGACGTCCTAGTAGATGTCCTTCTAGGTCCTTACCTCTCCTGGATGCTGCCCCTCTGATGTGATAGCATGGACTAAGCTTGACAATTGTCTTAAGCAAAGGGTTAAGAATTAACATTCACTCCCTTCTCATCCTGAGCCACAGCTGACTATGCAGAGGAAAATGGGGCTGCCTCAATAATTCTAAATCTTATCTGGAATCTGCTATCCTAGGAGAAAATCAGTCCCATACCTGTCTACTTCTTGTTAGTAATAAAGACAGTGGCTGCATCATAATTAATGCTGTCTCATATTAGACTCTAATATCAAGGGACTTTGAAGTACTTTGTTGGTTTCGAGAGTTTATGCAAATCTTTCTGAAGGAAGAAATGAGAAGAGGATTATTTCCATTTTATTGGTGAGGAGACCAAGGCCCAAGGAAAGGGATAATCCAAAGGTTTTCTGAGTGAGGAACAGAATCCTGGCAGCATGATATAATGGGCTTATAATTAGGAAGCCAAGATTCTGGCTCTTTTGCTAACTAGCTGTGTGACCTTTATAAATTTGTTGAACTTGGGCCCCAAATGAAGGGATTAGATTTCATGACCTCCAAAGGCCCTTTCATTCCTACAAAATCATCATAATCTCTGCCTTCTAGCAGAGGGGTAACATGTCATCATGGAAAGAACACTACTAAGCTTAGTGTCAGCAGACTAAGTTCAAATATTGATTCTGATACTTGCTAGCTACGTCACCATGATCAGCCTATTTCATATCATTGGGCTTCTTTTTACTCGTCTGTAAAATGGGGATAATAATCCTCACACTATCTCTGTTATCTGTTGTATGTGGTTCATTCTGATCCTCAACCTAGTGGGGTTCTTTTGGTCTTCCAGTTCTTTAATAGCATGTGACCCATCAATAATCAGTATCAGTTCATTAGTTCCCATCAGTGATTAGTTTACCTTTGGCAGGGTTTTCTAGCAGGTCCATTATGACTGAGTCAGCTCCCTTAGTATAGACAATGATCTCACCAGTCAAGGGGTGCCTTACAATCACTGACATCCTCTTCCTCACCGAGTCAAAACCCAGGGTGTAGAGGAGGTCAAAGGTGAGAAGCGTCCCCTGGGGCAGGCGCACAGTCACTTGCTCAGGGGTCCTGGATACCAAAGTGAAGTTGTAGGCCCGGGCAGCATGCACAAGGGCAGCTTCATCAGGGCTCTCGGCCTCATAGTAGAATTCTGGCTCTGGCATCACTGAGTCCAATACATCTTCCAAGGAGGGGCTTCTGGCCCCCAAGTTGTTGTGCCTGGTCATGACTTCTTCTTTGGAGCTGCTCTGGTAGCCAGCATCTGTTGAATATCCGCAGCTATGACTGGATGAGTCATCTTGCTCATCTGAATCTGCAGCTGTGGAGTTTGGCCCTAAACTTTCCCCAAGGTCAGGTGGAGTGGTGGAAGAGAAGGACTGGCTAAAACTGGAGAGTTTAAGCCTCTGGAACAGCTGGTGAAGCTTCTCCAGGGAAGCTCCTAGGGACTTCATCTGTGATGGGATGGTGACCTTGACATTGAGAGGAAAAGCAGAATGTTATTTCTGTGGGGAAAAATAATGAAATCACCCACAGGCAAGTCAAAGAATAAGGCAGATTAAAAAGGTCTCCTTTCTCCAAGTTCTAATTCTGCTGGACTCTTTGTTACTTAGAGGTTACTTTACCAGTAACTATATTAACCAGATCTCCTACTAGGTCAACTGATAGCATGACCACTATGTTGTGTGACCTCGACAAGTCACTTTCCCTCTCCCAACCTGAATTTTGTCACCTAGAAAATAAAGGAATTGACTTTTAAGATTCTCTAAGCACTAATGTTCTGTGATTCTCCATGCCCACAGGCAGATGGCCTCCCTCTTGGAAGATTTTTTAAAAATTATAATACAAATATGATGATCTTTTTTTTTACGACATTACTTACCCCAGTAAGTTATGTCACCTCTCTGCGTCTGTTCATTCACCTGTAAAATGGGTCTAGTTATAACTGCCTTACCTATCTCCCAGGGTTTTGTGAAGATCAAATGAGATAATACATGGGAAAATACTTCATGAATTATAAGATGTGGGAAAGTGTTCAAGGATGGGCTGGATAACCCTTAGACAAGAATGTTGTAGATCAGACATGTCAAACATATGGGCTGCATTACTGGCACAGCACTTCCTTCCACTATACCCTAAACCAGATTAAAATATAATTGGGAAATATTTAACAAACTAAGTAAAAATACAATGGAACATAGATGATACGGTTTTCTAAGTCAATACGCTGTCTGCAGGGATCCTTGTGAACAATGCCCCATTACTATTTGAGTTTGACACCACTGTTATAGATGATATTGACACTTCAGGAAAGGGTGGAATGAAATTATCTCAAAAATCCCTCCCAATCCTAAGCTCCCAAGATTTTAGAAAAGCATTTTATAAATGCTAAAGCATTTTGTAAATAATAAAGAGAAAGGTCATGGTTATAGTGCTCCTGGGTCCCTGGGCTCTCATAGCTGAGCTTTGTTTCCAAGCCATCCTTTCTTCTCTTTCTTCCCCGTTTCTGTACAAGCTCCCTGAGGGCAGGGATTATCTTTCTTGTCTGTGTATGCCACACATAGCATAGTGCCTGGCACACACTAAGCACTTAATAAATGCTTTCTCATTAAGTCATAAATATTTTTAATTCATTAATGGGATCAGTCTTCTAAGATTTATGCCTTTCTTTGTAGGTTGCCTTCCATGGGTTACCTAGCCAGTCTTTTCACAAAGTGAGCTAGAATTATAGAATTATCAGTTTTAGGGTTAGAAGGAACTCCAGATTGTGTCTATCCCACAGACATTTGGGGCCATAGGGTCATAAACTGAGAGCTGGAAGGGACCTCTGAGTCATCAAATCCACCACTTTCTTTTCCAGATGAAGAAACTGAGGCTGAGAGGGGTTAAATGACTAGTTAAAGGCAACATAGCTTGAACTCGGGTCTTCCTCACTCCAAACCCAGTACTGTGTCCATGGTACAACCAAGCTGCCTAATCAGAGAATATGAGAAATTGGAGGAAGAGAGATATGTTCTAGGCACTATGCTAAGCGCTTTTACAAATATTATCTCATTTGATCCTCCCAATAACCTTCTGAAGTAGGTGCTAATATTATCTCCAGTTTATAGTTGAGGAAAGTGAGGCAAACAGATTAAATGGCTTGCCCAGGGTCACACAGTAAATATCTGAGGCAGAATTTGAACTCTGGTTTTCTTGACTCCAGGCCCAGCTGTGCCACCAGGTGCCTCAAGTTTAGAGATCAACCCCTTCATTTTATACATGACTAAGCTGAGGGGAAGTGAGCTGTCTAGGTCACAAAGCTTAAAAGTAGAGCTAGGAGTAGACCCACATCTCCTGACTCCCAATCAGGTTTTTTTTTTAAAGCCCTCCCACACTCTTTCATGACACCTTACCCGCTGCCTGGGTTCTGTTGTTGTAGAGACCATGACAGAGTTGCAGATGGCTAGTGCAAGGAAGAAATCAGTGATGGAGGAGCCTGTGGAGAGGGAAGGTTTGGTGACCTTGTGGGCTGTCAGTGTTTCCAGTTTCAAGGTGGCACCTTTCACCTTTGTCAAGAGACCTTGATCTGGAGTCACATCCGTTTCCTGGGAGAAAAACATTTGAGTGAGAATTTTTTCAGTAAATGGACTACAGGGAAAGGCACTTACTGGTAAAGATTTTTGTACTACTAGGGAAAAGCAAGCATAGGATTGAGAATTAAAATCTTTCTCTAGAGGCATTCTGCCCCCAAAGCTCCCAAACTAGATGCCTGTTTTCACCATGATATATTCTTTCATTCTACAACTAATTTCTTAATGGTTCCCTATGCTAGGTATTAGGCCTACCCTGTTCCCACTTCCCCAATCATTGTGGATGAATCATGAAATTTTGAAGACAGAAGGGACCACAGTGATGATCTAGGCTGACCCCCTACCCCCAAAAGAATCCCAAAGCAACACAACTGATGAGTGGTCATCCGGCCTTTCCTTGAAAACCTCCTGGGAGAAGGAACCCACTACTCTCTCCCCCACTCCACTTGAAGGCAGCCCATTCTTTATTTGGAAGCTATATCTAGTGTCAGAGTACTTGTCCTCAAAAGCACCCACAGTGTTCAGGGCATTATGCTAAATGCTATCACAAAAACACTCCCCCTTAGGGCAGAGGAACAACTCAGAGAATTTTTAAGGAACAAACATGCACTGAACTGGGCCTCATTTTGTCATCCCAGCCCTCTGCTCCCTGAAGACATGTTGGCTCCCATGCAGAGCACAGCATTGCCAAAAAACACAAAAATATGTTTGTGTCTTCAATGATCCAAATGCCACTACTACTCTGACCCTATTCTCACCCTGGGGGAGGTGAAGCAACCAAGAGAGTACAGCCCCCCAGTCTAAAAAAAGACATGCCGGGGCAGCTAGGTGGTACAATGGATAGAGCTCTGGCCTTGGAGTCAGGAGGACCTGAATTCAAATCTGACCTCAAACACTTGACACTTACTAGTTGTGTGACCCTAGGCAAGTCACTTAACCCCACTGCCTAGCAAAAAACAAAAAACTAAACAAATTAAAAGGACATGCCCAGATACACTGTCTTTTCCCTCCCAAATTCATGATGAGCTGTAGCTGTTGCTAGACACTTTTTACATGCACCCTTGTATTATAATAATGTCTTCTCGCCTTCCTAACAAATATTTACAGTTTGAGAAAATGACCTTTGAGGACCCTTCCAGCTCTAAGATGCTCTAATTTGTTGAGTTTCTCCTTGTACCCTGAAAGATATTGAAAGGACCATAGGAAGGCCTGAGTGGTTCCTCTGTGGGGGATTTATGGAAAGACATGAACAAGAATTACACGAGATGAGAAGGCATGGAGGGGTTGGTACATCAGGGAAAGCAATGTTCACACGGATAAAATTATGACTCCATTGGAGTAGGGGATAGAGAACTGGCCCTGGGATCTGGAAGACCTGAGTTCAAATCTGACCTAAGATGCTAGTTGTGGGACCCCTGGATCATTTAACCTCTGTCTGCCTTAGTTGCCTTTTCTGTAAAATGGGGATAATAATAGCAACTACCTTTCAGGGTTATTGTGAGGATAAAATGAGATGATATTTGTAAAGTGATTTGCATATCTTAAAGCACTATGTAAATGTCATTTATTTATTTTAAACTGTATGGATTAAGGAATTATACTTTTAAAAATTTCAGACACTACCTATGTGATGCTGGACAAATCAATTAGCCTCTTTTATCCTCAGTTTCCTTATCAATAAAATGGGGGTAATACACCTTATGCAAAGGGTCGTCATGAAGATCAAATGAGAAAATGTAAGTAAAGTTCTTTAAAGCATATAAAGTGCTTAAAGCATTATATAAATGTTAACTATTATTATCACTTCTTTATTATCAATCAATAATCATTTAACCAAAGAGCACCTGTTAAGTACCTCCTCTGTGTCCCACACTCTGTTAGGCATTGGGAATATAAAGACAAAAGTGAAACAAGCCTGTCCTTGAGGAACTTGCACTCTATTGGCGGAGACAAGATGTACAGATATAAGCACACGGAAATCAAATATGAATACAAGATAAATGGGTTAGGGGGTTAGAGAAGTCAGGATCAATATAACCCCTTTCTGATGCCTTATCAAGGCATGGAGGGATCCTACGTACTTGACGTCTATGCCAGAGGAGCAAGATCTCTGAGATGGAAAGGCTCTGAATACGGTCTTGGCAATGGAGTTTTCTCCAAGGATAAGCTTTGCTAAATGCATAGAGGCTCATTTCTGAAAGGTTGCCTGTTTACTATTTCAGATGATTAAAAAAACATAGCAATATATGGAACCATCTATGAAGGTATAAAGAGGTTTAGGTGATAGCTATATAGAGGCCATCTAGTACAATCTATTCCTTTAACCTCCCTGAGCTTGTTTCCTGATGTATAAAAACAAATCATTCAAAGTCATACAGATAATGAGCAAGCATCAGAGGTAGCATTTGAACTCAGGTCCTCTGACTCCATAGCCAGTATGCTATGCCATGCTGCCTTGCATTTTAGGGATTGGCAGGCTAGTGGGATAAGTAATTTTGAACTCTGGAGCCTTCCAAGTGTTCCATATACTGACAGTCACCATACTCTGCCTTTTCCTAAGGTCAGCTGGCTTATTCCAATCATGTTCAGACAGCTACCGATATACCTAGCTAAACACATATTCTTTCCATTTTTGTTCTAAGATACAGGTTTAGTTACTATCATGGGGAGAAGACTCCAGTATGCGTAATGGAGGGGAGTCCTTGGAAAAACTGAGCCTGGAGGCACCCTATATTTAAATTCTTAGAGACTGGATCTCAAGGCCCTGGCCAGCAATTCTGCAGCACATATTCTCATGGCACCATGAAACTGCCTTGGACAACTTTCCAATGATATGAAGTAGTCTAACTGGACGACTCAGAGGCAAGAGTATGATAGGCAGACTGTAGAATGTGGAAAATGGAAATCATCATTATCATCAACGTAGATAATTTATAAACACTATATACCAGGCCCTGGGTCAACCCCTAGAGATAATAACACAAGCAAGTTAGGCAGTCTTCGCCCTCAAAGGTCCAACATTCTAATGGGGGAAGACTGACTCATAAAAGAAAGACTAGGAAGGATTACATATCTTCTTATCCTGGCATAGCTGGAAACTACTACGATGAGTACTACTGCTGATGTGACTACTAGTCTTGTTCATATGGAGTCTGCTTGTTACTGTGGAAGAAAAGGAATCAGAATTTGGTTTCCTTACTGAGTCCCAGGAAGCTTCAGAAGTCCTTGTCAGGGACTTTACAGCAAGGCAAGGAAAGAAGTAAAATACATACATAGGAGAAAAATCTTACAGAAAAGGGGTGGAAAATTTTGTACCAAAGGAATTCAGTATTTTTTCCTGGTCCTAATAAGAACATATCATAGCAAGATTTATTAACAGCACTGTCAGGTTTGAGGTAATGATTAATACAGATGGTTTGGCAACACAGGTGGCTGTATATCTAGGCTACCAATCCCTTCAATCCAAATTACTCTGTTTGGCATTTAAGTTCCTTCATAATCTGGCTCCAACCTATTTTTCCCGGCTGATTGCACATCATACACACTCACTCTATGTTCATGACAAACTGTAGGGCCTACTTTACTCAACATTTTGTCTCCTGTCTCCATCCTCTGTATCTGGAATACTCTCCCTCCTCATCTCTATCCTTTGGAATCTCTGGCTCCCTTTAAAGCTCTGTTCATATACTACCTCCTACCAGGGACATTTCCTAATTTTCTTCACTTGTTAGTGTCCTTTCCCTTCTTGCCTTCTCCAACTCCCCACTCCAACCAAAGACTTCCTATTTATTTTGTATTGATTTGCTTTGTCTGTGTTCCTGTTGGTTTTTCCCCAGTAGAACAAAAGTCAAGTTCTTGAGATAGGATTTACTTCATTTTTGTTCAACTCCCAGAACAGTGACTGGTATACAATAGGTACTTAATAAATGCTTTTTCAATTGGACCTGAAAGATTTTGGAGCATATCTAATTTAAAAAACACACACACACAGCAGTGAGGTTACAAAATTGGGAATACCCTTTGCTTCTCCTTTCTATTCCCTATGCTGTGGGGAAGCTCTGGGTGTCCCTGTGTTTTTCTGTGTGGATGGAGAGCAGGGGTAAGGAAGGGCAGACCACAGAAAAACCATCTAGCAAGGAGTAAGGCTGGGGCTGATATGCAAATTTTGTGGGCTGAATTTTTTTGGTCTGATTACAGAAAAGAATTTGCAAGACTGCCCATATTATACAAAGGATGTCTATTCAAAACAAGAAATTAAAAAAAAAAAGAAAAGAAAAACCTGAAGAGGCCTGGAAAAGGGCATTTTATTTTCTATGACAGCACTTGTAAATATTGGCCCAATACCTAGTCCCTCCTGGAAGCATCAGGGCTTCAGTTCCCAAAGGCATACGTGCCAACGAACAAGACAATTAGAAGACACCACCTGAAGTTTCCTTGCTCTCTAGAGGAGAAAAGGGAAGTTAAAAAGTAAAACTAAATGGGGAGGCTTGTCAGAACAAGAGATACCTGCTAAACAGCCAAGGAGCAAGGTCTCGAGAAAGCAGTAATTGCCACACTTGTGGCCTGCCAATTTTGAAAGACAAGCTGTGATGACCGAGTATACTCGAAGCAGGTAAAGGAGAAGGAATCAAAGGATCAGTGTCATTTATTGACTAAGACAAGGCTGGACTCTAGTATGGCGGGGAGGCAGACGGATCTGGATGGAAGAGAACAAGAAGCCTGATGTACCAGGTGGGTTCACTGCAATCATGATGATATCAGCAAAGACTCACTCTTCAACATCACCTTAAGGGTTTTATAGGGCACTTTCTTTGTGCTCCTTAAGGAGGCAAGTTTCCACAAGACTAGGATTGAAGGAGGAAAGGACAGCTAAAGTCCAAGGGACCCCCAAGAGAACCACTTAGAAGGCCCACACAATGAGACCTTGGCCCCCAACCTATTAATTCAAAATTCTGTTAGTACACTTAGGGGTATTTGTGCAATGTTCTCAGAGGCCTTGAAGGCTTCATATATTACATAAAACACTTAATTTGCATATCACAACACCTTCTTGAAGATCACCCTGAGCCTATCAAAAATTAAATTACTCATGGGGCTGTATTCTGTTTGTAGAAAAAAGGCCTCAACAGTCATTTTTACCTCTTTTTTTGGTAAATATCTAACATTTTCATTGTGCATTGGGCTTTTCAAAACACTTTCATATCCATTACCAGTCACACTGGTTGCTCTCTTACCATATTCTATCTCTTATCTCTGTATCTTTTCATAGACTGTCCTCCATGCCTGAAATGGCCTCTTTCCTCACCTCAGTCTTTGTGGAATTCCCAGCTTCCTTCAAAGATCAACTCAAGTACAACCTCCTATGTAAGGCCTGTCCCAATCGCCCCATTTGTTAATGTCTTCATCACTAAATTATTTTGCATTTACTTATCTGTGTATATGTTGTTTCCCCTAATAAACTGTATGCTCCTTGAGGGAAAGGGACTATTTCCTTTGTATCTCCTGAGCACAGCCCCTGGATTGGATCTGTGATTTCACTAGAACTTCCTCTACCAATGCAGATCTACACCTTTTCTGCAATATATAATCTTAGAGAGTTTATTGGGGCATAGAGAAATTAAGTGACTTGTTCGGGGCATACAATCAGCAAGTGGCAGTGGAAGGAATGAACCCAGGCCTCCCTGACTCCAAAGTCAGCTTGGCATATTGTAGGTGATTAATAAATGCCTGACAAATGAATGGACAAACACCCCTCCTGTAACCCTTGCAGGTACATAGGGTAGGTATTCTTCTTTCACTTTATAGATGAGGAACTTCCTAAGACCAGAAGAGCAATGTCCAATAAGCATCAGTAGAGGAAGCTTCCTCTTGGGGGAGCTCCTTCTGACAAAGCCAAAAAACAAACAAACAAACAAAAAAAAAACAGACCAAAACAAAACCAAAACAATGAATAAGCAGAGGAACAGAGAGGTTGAGAGCTTCCTTATGCCACCCAGCTGGATAGCAGAAGGTGCACCCCAATGAACAGGAGTACCCTAACTGCTTTTCTAGTTCTTTTCCTACTATTCCATCTTGTCCTTCAGGTATAAACATTAACCAAGTGACCACTGAATTTTGAGGGGGCTGGAGAACTATTATTTTGCAGGGAATATTTTATTAAACCCACTTGCCTGGCCAGCCAATTAGAGTTGAGTCTTGTGTGAGTCATTTATCAGTTCATTCCCTCTGCTTTGCCTTCCTGAAAGAACTTAGTTAGAACCTGTCATTCAAAACTGCCTGGAGGCCAGGCTGTGGTGGAGCAATTAAAACGTTCTCTGGAGCCTTGAGAAAGATGGTTGGTAACATATCCCTTGCCCTAGCAGTTCATAAATGCCTCAAATTAGAGTTGTGGCTTGTTATTAATTCCTACCCGGGTAGGAATAAATGGATGAGCTGTGAGAACGAAATGCTTTGGGGTAAAAAAGGCAGAGAAGTTTTATCTTCCTTTTCAGTGGAGAGTTCTCCCAGATACGTCGGAGACTGTAAAAGATAGTCAGGTGAGAATGGTCCAAAAGACATGGAGACAGACTTGAGCAGAGGGAGAGATGTGAGGAAACTGGTTAATGGCCCAGCAGCTGGGGGTTACAATAGACAGAGTGTTGGACTTAGGGTTTACAAGTCCAGAACTGAAATCTGATCTCAGACATTTACTAGTTGTGTGACCCTGGACAAATTACTCAACCACTCTCAGCCTCAGTTTCCTCATCTGTAAAATAGCACAAACCTCATAGAATTGTTGCAGGGCTCAAATGAGTTGATATTTATAAAGTATTTTGCAAACCTTAAAGAGCTCCTTGGCTAGAAGTGATCTCTCCCTCTACAGAACCCTCACAGGGCCTTGTTTATACTTCTTTTGTGTACTCTCATATTTTATTTTATATTGGAATTATTGTGTATGTCTAATCTTTGATACATGCTTGAAACATGTCTAATTTTTGACACATGGTACAAGAGAGTAGAGGATTTGGATTTGAATTCCAGCTGCCCTTTATTACCTATGTGACCTTGGGCAAGCCATAAGCTCTCTGGGGCCTCAGTTCCCTCATCTGTAAAATAAAGAAGTTGACTGAATGGTCTCTATGGCCCCTTCCAGATCTTAAAAACAAACAAACAAACAAGTGTGATTCCTTTCTAGACTAGTATAATCTGTGGAAGGCTCATGACAGATTTATTCTTCTCTATCTCTTCCTCAGTAGACTTTCGTGGGCACTTTAGTTCAATAGATGCTCAACAAAAATTCATTGGTTGACTAAATGAATGTTAGTGATAGTTTTTTATTTAATCACTATTGTGCTCATTAAGGTTGTACTAAGTATAAAATAGTTCGGGAGTCAATCAACTTTGTATTCACATAGAACAATTGGATAATCTGTAAACCAAAGGGTTCCAGCTGATACCCTTTTTCTTTAGTAGGGGTCAGAAAAGGCATTGCTGAGCTGTGTGGGTTGTCTTTGTGTTTTTCTTTTGCTCCAAAAAGCCAGAGGTTCTCTCAACTGAATAATATTTAGTATTGCTTTCTGCCGCTATAACAAGGAGGGTTTTGATTCAAAATTATATTCTTTCTCTTAATTTCCATTGGTAAAGCAGCAAGGTATTGGAGAAACTGTACTCTGTGAGTTAGGAGTTGACTTTGCCACTGCTTGGTGTGTGGCCTGCAGAGAGGCACTTCACTTTCCTGAGCCTCAGTTTCCTCATGTACTAAATGGGGATAACCCTTTTTCTATCCACCTTACAAAGGTGATAGGAAACTGAAATGTGACATAATGTATGTGAAAACATAAAGAGCAAAATTAATGTAACAAGTTATTATCACAGATACTTATAAGTAAGAGCATGGCTAAGTGGCTGGAGAGTTATGTAGGAATCAGGAAGATGTAGGTACAGGTCTTCCCTCTTAACACATCCTGGCTTTGTGACCTTGGGCAAGTCACTTAGTCTCTCATTGTCTCAGGTAACTCTCTAAAACAGAAGTTCTTAATTTTTTTTTTTTTTGCATCATGGACCTCTTTGGCATTCCAGTGAAACATGATTTCCTCAAAATGTTTTTAAAAGTACATAGGATAACAGAGAAAACCAATTACATCAAAATATAGTTATCAAAATATTTTAAAAAAAGGTTCATAGACTGAGATTAAGAATCACTGCTCAAGACTATATATTGCAGAAAATGTGTTGATGAGCATAGCTAAAGGGAGTTTCCTCAATGAGTGCCTCAATCTTAGTGCCTTCCCTTTGAGATTATCTCTGATTTATCCTGAAGATACATTGTTTGTACAGAATTGATTGCATGTTTTCTCCCCTATTAGACTGTGAGCTCCTTGAGAACAGGGCATCGGTTTTTTTTTTGCCTTTCTTTTCATCCCCAGACTTAGTACAGTGCCTGGCACATAGTGGGTACTTAATAAACGCTCGTGGACTTGACCATGAAATTTTTCCAATGCAATCAAAGGTTTGGTTCCAAACAAAACAAACATATGGGATATAAGCATCTAGGACCTCATAGAAAATAGTCCCAGCCCTGCTTTGTGTCCCCACTCACCTCTGCTTCTTAGAATCCCAATTTTCCTTCAAAGCTCGGCTCAGATGGCACCACCCACATGAAGCCTCCACCATCTATCTTGTATTTGCTTTGCATATATTTATATGTATACTTGTTCTTCCTTAGTAGAATATAAGTTCCTTGAGGGCAGGAACTGTTTAATTTCTGTGAAGCATGTTTAATAAATGCTTGTTCATTCAGTGAGGGAATAAATAAACAAAGAGCACTAGAGCAAAGGGGGATGTTAGAGCTGATCACATTCAACCCTCTTATTTTATAAGTGAGGAAAGTGAGATCTAGAGAAATAAAGTGACATGCCTAAGGTCACAAAGCAAGTTAATGGAAGAGCCAAATCTAGGACCCAAATCTCCCGACTCTCAGAACAATGCATTTTCTTTTGTAATAGAATCCATCCTTCCTTCCTTCCTTCCTTCCTTCCTTCCTTCCTTCCTTCCTTCC